ATCAATTGCTTTAAAATGGGGTTTTTGAGATCGTTGTATAGAGCCAAGTTTTTTGTTTTGTAGTAGCAACAAGTTGCTGCTGAACTTCTTGTACAGATAGTTTCATGGATAAATATAATTTTCACATTTTATCCAAAAAAAAAAATAACTATATATATATATATATTCAATTCCTCTTTTGCTGATAGGGAAAAAGAAAATCCTCTAGCTTTAGAAAATAAAAATAAGAAAAAATTGCTCTTCAAATATATGCAAAATTACAAATCCAAAGTTTACATCCTTCATTGGATTCTATCGACCATAGCATCACAAATGATTATAATATTGAACTTTGAACATCATCAAAACCCAATGATATGATTTTTATTGGACTTTGTTTTAAAGCCCAGTAACTAAAAAACTAAAGCCCAAATCATATATTTTGGGAATGACATTGTTCGGTTTATGCCTAACCCACTTCATTTTCTTAAATGGATCCGGGTTTTCCCCGACAAAGATCCATTCTTTCGCTTCGCGACTTCGCCAGTGCTTGTATGTATTTTCGATTTCTGTTCTGGGGAAGATTATGGATCGGTCGGAAACGGCAGTCCTTGAAGTAAGAAACCAGAATGGTTACTAGGAAGGTTTCTCTATAAACTCAATTTATGCGATTGTACTAAAAGGACGGTGGAAGGATATTTTGAAACCCAAGGTCTGTAACAATGTCACCTCAGCAGCTATTAACCAGATTCTTTTTCAAGTCTCGTTGTATGGATATGGTCCTTCACTTTCTTGGGAATTCTACAAATGGGTTGAATTCGTTCCAAATTACAAGCATTCCTTGCAATCGTCTTGGACAATGGTTCACGTTGTCACCAAGCATAGACATTTCAAGATTGCATAGAACCTGCTTGAGAAAATTGCCCACACGGATTTCTTGTCGTCACCCTCTGTTTTGAATGCTTTGGTAAGTACTCATTGTGACCCAAATGTGAATTCTCACGTTTTGAGCTGGCTTGTGATATCCTATGCAAATTTGAGGATGATCCCCAAACATGCTATCCAAGTGTTTGAGCATATGAGGGTGCAGGATGCATGGCTTCAAACCTTATTTGCATGCTTGTACCATGCTTTTGAACTCTTTGGTGAAAGAGAGGTCGACTCATATGGTCTGGAACTTTATAAGAAGATGGTTAGACTTCAAGTTGTTGCAAATATACAAGTGTATAATGTGTTTGTTCATGCTTGTTGCAAGACTGGGGATGTGGACAAGGTGGAGAAGGTTAAAGAATATTGAGGCTTAATATCTTCATTAGATTATAATCAGGGTATATATACAAGATGTATAGAAGTATATTGACACTTCTAACCCTATACTATGTACACGTGTATTACATACATTATCAAAGGTGTTGGGTGAGATGGAATATGATGGTCTTTCTATAGACCTTTTTACATACAATACATTGATTGCATTGTATTGCAAGAAGGGTATGCATTTTGACGCTTTATCTGTTTAGGATAGAATTGAAAGATCAAGAGTTAGTCGTGATATTATACTTGTAATTCCCCTATTTATGGGTTTGGTAGAGAAGGTAGAATGAGTGTGGCTTTAAGGCTCTTCAAGGAAATTAAGGGTGCCTTGTGACATATACTACTTTGATTGATGGTTATTGTAGAGTGAATGACCTCAAGAAAGCTTTGAGATTGCGTGAGGCAGTGGAGGCCAAGGGTTTGTGTCCCAGTGTTGTTACATATAATTCAATTATTCGTAAGTTGTGTGAGGAAGGCATAATAAGGGATGCTAATAGGATTTTGAATGAGATGAGTGATAAGAATGTTGAACCTGATAGTATCACTTGTAACACATTGATAAATGCTTATTCCAAAATAGGAGATGTGAGGTCAGCAATGGAAGTAAAGAATAAGGTATTGGAGGCAGGATTGAAGCTGAACCAGTTTACTTTCAAGGCATTAATTCACGGGTTTTGCAAGGTTTAGGATTTGGACTGTGCTAAAGAGCTCTTATTTGGCATGCTTGATGTAGGCTTCTCTACCATTTATTGTACCTACTCTTGGCTTGTTGATGGATACTGCAACCAAGACAATGAAGAAGCAATTATAAAACTCCTGGATGAGTTTAATGGAAGAGGTCTTTGCCTTGATGCCTCAATATATAGGTCATTGACAAGAAAGTTTTGCAAGCAGGAAAATATTGATTGTGCGCAAAGAATATTCAACCTTATGCTGGGAAAAGGTATCTCGGGAGATAGTGTTATATACACTGGTATGGCTTATGCTTACTGGAAAATGGGAAAGGTGAATGTTGCTTCAGATTTATGTCATATATAACTATTATAATTATATCATTATGAGTTTTAAGGGGTCATTTGCTACTGTTTTCAGTTGAGGGCCACCAACAGTCAAGTTCGAAGGCTGATTTGTACAATTCGACTTTATTAAATCCTTCCGAGATCCATTTCTTTCCCCCTTTCATCTAGCTCCATAGCATTGACTAGTATGACTAGTTCTGGTATTTGTAGAACTAGTACACGAAATTTTTGTGACACATCGGTAAGGGGACCTGACTGAGCTCACCAAGTGTATGTTGGTAGGTGGTGAAAAGTTTTTGAAAGCCATAACCTCTGTTTCCTCTACAAATCCTTCCTCCAGGCGTCCGGTCCAAGTACATTGTCAGGAAAAGTTGGAAAACCCATATTGTTCTAGTCTCGAGAGTCCCTGGAGTAGTCAGCTTCGGAGCTTCAACAAGTGTAGTGTAGATATATCCTTGCTTCCCGCTGCCCTTCTTTTCCCCCCCACAAATTCCCACCTACCTTATTCCGGCCACGAATCCCCATCCTCAGGGGATTTCAGCTAGAAACTTGGACTTAAAAACAAAATCTAGAGGTAAGCTTTTTCATTCGTTTTTTAAATCCCTTTTTTGTTACTGAGTTGCCTTTGTTTTTAAGGTTGGACAATGCATCTAAAACAAAGTTGGTCCTTATAACACTTGGTGGTTTGATTTTATATATATATATATATTATGATTCTATGTTTTGGTAAATTTTCTTGCTTCCCAGAAGTCATTCTAGTAAGGTTTCTTAGTTTCTTTTATTTCCTATTACAGAGACTTGAGAAAGGGAGGAAAAACAAACAAAGAAGAGGGATGGAAATTGTGGAAGAGAAAGAACACATTGCAATTGACATGGGGAAGCTGTTAACTTCATACCAGTCCCTAATAAACATGGATGATTATTTGACAACCGCAGCTGGTAAGCCTTGCATCTTTGAAATCACAAACACACCCTCTATAGGCAAGTTTCTACTTTCTACTTTCTACGTGGCAGACAGCGGGAGTAGGGTTCTGATCTGATCTTATTGGACTTCATTTTAAAGCCCAAACTATGGTCGAAATTGGAAAACATTTTAAAGCCCAAATCAAATATTAGGTAAAACATTGTCTGGTTTAGGCCTGACCCACTTCATTTTTCCATTTTAATGGGCAGGTTTTTAAGAGATCCATTCTCGATTCGTCAGTACCGGTATGAGACGTGGAGTCATTAAACCCCTTCCTCCGCCTTCTCTTCACTGAGCTGGTTTCCTTCCATTTTCCCTGGCTTACTTTAGGAAATGGTCTATTAATTATGTATTTTTTAATATTTTATCTATTAAT